AACGGTTGGAGTTGGGAACGCTTAGACTAGTTAGAACAAGCATGAATATTGAATTCTCCAAAAGGTACCTCTCCATTTGGGACGCACATAAGATAATGATAGTACTTATAAGAAGTAGAAGAATTGGAACAAGCATAGATCTGGAAGTGGCCAAACGGCTCCTGTCCCCTGGTGAAATTGAACCTGAAAATTCCCAAGCACGCCGGGAATAATGGGAGGAAATAGAGACTTAGAAGACATGGATTTGGAATTCCCAACTGTCACCCTCTCTACTCACCAAAAGAAGGCTGCGCATCTGGAAATTATTCAAATGATTGGAACAGTGTGGGAAACTATGGAACTCACCAAAAGGCCCCATCTCTTTTGATAAAAGTATCATACCTAGAGCAAAAACGAGTCTGGAATTCTGTAAAAGGCACCCCCGCCCCCTAAGGACTAACTAGAAGAATGGGAACAGTTACGATAAGTAGAAAGAAAACATAAAATCATATTGTATTTTCCAAAAGGCACCCGTCCCTTTGTGAGTACTTAGCAGAATTAGAACAACCAGAAGAAGTAGACAAATCAGGGCAAAAAGGAATCTGAAAATCCTCAACAGGCGCCCGCCCCTTTCGGAATAAGCAGAGAACGTCGAATAGCAATGATTCCTTGCGAAAAATGATTAGAACAGATCAAATTAGAACAAAGGTGAATCTGGAATTCTCCAAAAAGTACCCGAATCCTTACAATTAGAAGAACTAGAAGAATTGTGTTAAATAACGTAATTTGCAAGATGAATCTTGAATTCCTGAAAAGGCACCCGCCCCTTTGGGAATAATCAGAATAATTAGAGAGATAGAAAAATTGGCACAACCAATAATCTGGAATTCGCCCAAAAGGCACCCGTCCCTTGGGCAATGGATAGAATATGAAACTACTCAGGATAGTTAGACAGGCACCTGTCCAGTTGGGAACAAGTAGAATATTTAGAACAATTAGCAAAACATATATTCTCTTGTCGTTTTGGATATTCGGATCAATGGGAAAAGTAGTTAGTTAGAAGTCAATGAATCGGGAATTCCGCCCAACAGGGCACCTGTCCCTTTCGGAATACATGAGTAGAACAATTTGAAACATGAATCTGGGGTTCCCCAAAGGGCATCCTTCCCCTGAGGAATAATTGGAACAGCTTGAACAATTACAGGAACTTGCAAATAAAGTGATGTTGATTTCCTGAGAAGGCACGCGCCCCTGTGTGAACAGTTAGAATAAGCCGAGTGGCTAGAAAAACAAAGGGCGTTATCTGGTCTGTGTTGTTTAATATTCTAATTCGGTAGACTCATTTTAATAACTAGAACAGATACACTCGATCTACGCGTACTTCCCCCAAAGGCACCCACCCTGTGGGAACAATACGTGAAATGTTTGGAATAATGAGAGTCACACGGCGATTGTTTAACTGATTCAAGCTTGAAGAAGTGGAACAATTAGGACAAAGAGGAATCATTGGACGAGTTAAAACAGATGCATCTGGAATTCCCCAAAAGGCACCTACCTGTCTCTTGCAGAAAGATGAGTAATAGGGAACAATGTTCTAATTATACTACTTATCCAAATTCTTAGACTAAGTAGATCAACTAGCAACAATGAATTTGGAATTTCCCAAAAGGCACGCGAACCTGTACCAGGAAAACTCATTTAATAAATCGAAGATAAAACACGTTTTGTAATTAGACCCCAGAAGGCACCCGCCCCTTTAAACATAAACAAATGTTAGGATAATCATGAGAAGTAGAATAATTAGCACAAACTGAGTCTGGACTTCCCCACAAGGCTCCCGGCCCATTGAAAATAAGTAGAACAGTTAGAGTTGTGAATGCTTAGACTAGTTAGGACAAACATGAACATTGAATTCCCCAAGGGGTACCCCTTTATTTGGGAAGCAAATAAGACAATGATAATAGTTTAAATCGAAGAATTAGGCTAGATTAATATAAATAGAATATTGTAGTGAGCCTGGATGTTCAGAAGGCGCCCCCCCCCACCCCCCTTTGGAAATAAATGTTAGGATAATCATGAGAAGTAGAATAATTAGCACAAACTGAATCTGGACTTCCCCACAAGGCTCCCGGCCCATTGAAAATAAGTAGAACAGTTAGACTTGTGAATGCTTAGGCTAGTTAGAACAAACATTAATATTGAATTCCCCAAAGGTACCCCTCCATTTGGAAAGCAAATAAGATAATGACAATGGTTTAAATCGAAGAATTACGCTAGATTAAATTGAAGAATTATTGTAATTAGACAGTGAGCCTGGATGTTCAGAAGGCACCCGCCCCGTTGGAAATAAATGTTGGAAGAATCATGAGAAGTAGACTAATTAGCACAAACTCCCGGCCGATTGAAAATAAGTAGAAGAGTTGGAGTTGTGAACGCTTAGACTAGTTAGAACAAACATGAATATTGAATTCTCCAAAAGGTACCCCTCCATTTGGGACGCACATAAGATAATGATAGTACTTATGAGAAGTAGAAGAATTAGAACAAGCTTAGATCTGGAATTGGCCAAACGGCTCCTGTTTCCTGGTGAAATTGAACCTGAAAATTCCCAAGCACGCGGGGAATAATGGGAATAATGGGAGGAAATAGAGACTTAGAAGGCATGGATTTGGAATTCCCAACTGTCACCCTCTCTACTCACCAAAAGAAGGTTGCTCAGCTGGAAATTTTTCATATGATTGGAACAGTGTGGGAAAACTATGGAATTCACCAAAAGGCCCCATCTCTTTTGATAAAAGTATCATACCTAGAGCAAACACGAGTCTGAAATTCTGTAAAAGGCACCCCCACCCCCTAGAGATTACAATTAGAAGAACTAGAAGAATTGTGTTAAATAAAGTAATTTGCAAGATGAATCTTGAATTCCTCAAAAGGCACCGGAATAATCAGAATAATTAGAGAGTTAGAAACATTGGCACAAACACTAATCTGGAATTCGCTCAAAAGGCACCCGTCCCTTGGGCAATGGATAGAATATGAAACTACTCAGGATAGCTGGAGCAAACATGAGTCTGGGATTCCCAAACAGGCACCTGTCCAGTTGGGAACAAGTAGAATATTTAGAACAGTTAGCAAAACATATATTCTCTTATCGTCCTGGATATTCGGATCAATGGGAACAGTAGTTAATTAGAAGTCAATGAATCGGGAATTCCGCCCAACAGGGCACCTGTCCCTTTCGGAATACATGAGTAGAACAATTTGAAACATGGATCTGAGGTTCCCCAAAGGGCATCCTTCCCATGAGGAATACCTAGAACAGCTTGAACAATTACAGGAACTTGCAAATAAAGTGATGTTGATTTCCTGAGAAGGCACGCGCCCCTGTTTGAACAGTTAGAATAAGCCGAGTGGCTAGAAAAACAAAGGGCGTTATCTGGTCTGTGTTGTTTAATATTCTAATTCGGTAGACTCATTTTAATAACTAGAACAGATACACACGATTTACGCGTACAAATACGGCTACGCGTCTTCGTCTTATTCTATTTATTTCACCGAGTTGGAACCACTCCAAGACTTGAAATGATCTAAACACATCTGCCATTTCCCCAAGGGCCCCTCGGGAAAAAATAGAGTAACGAGAATGGTTCTGACACTTGCGTATTGCAAACATGAATCTTGAATTCCACAATAATTGGTGTAATTGGACAAATCAACCGTAGAATGATTAGAACAGACACTGAATCTGGATTTCCCCAAAGGGTGCCCGTCCCTTTGGAATAGTTAGAACGAAAATATCAAGAATCATTAGACGAATTAAATCAATTGCATCTGGAATTCCCCAAAAGGCACCTGCCCCTTTCAGAAACATGAGTAATAGGGAACTGTGTTCTAATTATACTACTTATCCAAGTTCTTAGCATAAGTAGATCAACTAGCAACAATGAATTGGTTAGTTTCTCAAAAGGCACGCGTCCCTTTGGGAATAACTAGCATAACCCGAATAATCAGAAGAGTATAGCCAGGAAATCCACGAAAGCACCCAACCCATTTTGAATAAATCGAAGAATTAGGCTAGTTAGAACATCATTGTAATTAGACAGTGAGACTGGGTTTCCCCAGAAAGCACCCGTCCCTTTGGGAACACATGTTAGGATAAAAATGAGAAGTATAATGATTAGCTCAAAGTGAATCTGGACATTCCCAACAAGGCGCCCGGCCAGTGAAAAACAGAATGTTAGAATTGTGAGAATGCTTAGAATGATTAGAACAAGCATGAGTGTTGCATTTCCCGAAAGGAAGCCCTCGCTTTGGAAATAAAATAAGATAAGATAGTAGGTTTAGAAGCAGAATAGTTAGAGCAAGCATGGATCTGAAATTCGCCAAAGGGCTCCAGTCCCTTGCGGGAACAAAACAATTAGAATAGCTGCACAAAAATGGAAATTGCGTTGAAGATCCAAAGCACGCCCGTCCATTCGGGAATATTTGGAAGAATTAGACACTTAGAAGAATTGGATTTGGCATTCCTCAACAGTCACCCGCCCCTGTAAAAGTATATGGAGTGATTTGAATAATGCAAACAACAAGGGGCGTGCGGGTCATGTGAGCCACGCGCGCGCGCGCCACATTATACATGGTCTACCCTTCCACGGGGGGGGGGGGGCGGGGACGTTTTGAGGATCTCAAGACATGAGTTTGCGTGGGCCAAGGCATGAGAAGCTTCTTCTGTTGATGTCCATTCTGCCCCCAGATTCAGCCAAAGCCGTGGGGGAAGCTTGTGGCCCCCCAAGGCTCTACAAGCCCTGCAGACTTGGAAGGGATGTACTGCTATTGGGTTGAATCTTTAGCCTTTAACTTTTCGGATTCCCCTCATATGTCCTTGTTAACCAGCAAAACGCAAAACTTTTTGCTGGGAGATCTACAGCACCCAAGTTTAAAGGAAGGCCAAAAGGGAAACCATTTTTGGGGGGTGACCACTCACCAGCCGCCCGGTGAGGAAGCCAAGCATTGAGAGAACCGAGGTTCGGCTATGTGAAGAGGCCCCGATCCATCGGGCGAGTGGCAAGGTTCATTTCTGGAGTCTACCAGTAGGCTTCACGAGCAGTGGGTTCTCAAGCCTTGCGAGCAAGGTCGCTTCCTGAATTTTTGTGCCAGCCACATGCCATGCGAGCCCTGCAAACGGCGAAGGTGCCGATTTACCCAACAGCCAAGTCCCCCAGCAGTGCCCTTTTACCCTTTTTTGGGGGGGAGGATGCCCCTACTAAAATAGACTACGGAAAAAAGTTGGTACCCTTATTCTAGCCTCACTACTGGAGGACCTAGGCAACTTTCTTTGGGCAGTTGCCATTGCAATTTCATCTGGGTTTCTCAGAGGCAGCTGTGAGCCGTGAGTGCCAACGCCGCAACGCCCCGGCAACGCTTTGCTTTTTTTACACGCGCCAGGGCAGGCCTGGGGCTGTACCTTGGGCAGGATGGTTTGGCCCAGCGCTTCACAGGAGCGCAGCTTTTCGCTGGGAGCGGGGCAAGTCAGACCGAGTGACAGATAGGCCGCCACTCATCCCAAATTTTGCCAGATGATTTTCAGGAACAATTCGACGGGACGGAGTTGCAGGTTGTGCGTAGATGCACCGCGGCGAAGGTTCTAACAAGCGCCGACTGGAACATAAGAGGCAGTTGACAGCAGGCAACAACTCGCTTGCTCAAGGCTGGAAGGATGGCAATGAAAGGGGACCAAGACGGACCCGATCCATTGGATAGGGTTTCCGCGTTACAAGTTACAAGGCTGATCGCCCCGTCAGAATCCAGGGCCGTTTCTCCGAGCCCAAAGCCTTGTGATAGAGGCACGCGGCTGGAGAGTGACACTACTTCTAGCACCATTGGATAGCCCAAAACGGTCTGGCGAAACGTCGGATGGCAGGACGACCGGGCGCCGTGGTGGCTGGCTTGCAGAGCAACAGCGCAGCCGCAGAGGCGTGAAACCAGGGGTTCAGGTCGCCAAGACAGGGCACCAAAGCTTCCTGGGAGGTCTCAAAGAGGGGACACTGGAACTATCAAAGGGGATAAGATGAACTTCAGGCAAAAGCGTCCTGCAATTCATGCACAATGAAATGGACAATCCCAAACATGTCCCCTTACCAGCCCCATTTTTTGGGCAGCTGTTGCTACTGGAATCATGGGACTTCAGCAAATGGAAGGAACTTCATTGGTGGACTTGAAGGACTTGACATTGATACCAAGAGCAACCTGAGCCCAAGTCACCTCTTAGAGAGGTTCGTGGGGTAGCCTTCTCTAGGAAGATGGCATTGCATCGTTTGGTCGAGCTTGTTGTAGTTTTCTGCTTTCCTAGACACCGGGCATTTTGCCGTGAACTTAATTGTTCATGATGCAGCCGGATTTGTATTGAATCCACACTTTTGTTTTCAGCTTTTCGGAGTTTCCCACAGTCCAGACGAGTATCCAGGATCCTTTGCGGTTGAGGTCTGCATCAATTTGTTATGCTGGTGGAGCTGTGTAGTTCCGCGAAGGAAGCTTAATGTTGGTCTGCTTACGGGAAGTAGAGAAAAAGAGGGAGAGAGTGCTTGATGTCTTTTGTACCTTTTGGCTTTCGAGCTCCCAGATATTTGGAGGACCTGCATTTGAACCACATGCTTGACAGCCCCATAGGCCATCGATCAGACCGCTGAGCTCGGCCTAGGGGGGCGTTAAGCCTGGCGACGTGCTGCGGGAGGTGGACGGCCGGCGCATCCAGACCGTGCCGCAACCTCGTTGGGGGCGCAGCGCGCCAAGGTAGCTGTACAAACACCATCAAAAACCGACCCTTTGGACGTGAAGCGTGCGTTTCACAGTTTCAGTGCATCAGTGCCCGGCTGCTTGTGGCATTCCCAACTCCTTGAAATAGAAAAAAAGGGCGAGCCGTAGCCAACACCGAAAGAAGGACCTTTCAGATCCAAGGGGTTTTGCCTCAAGTTGCCTCAAGTTGCTGGGGCCCTGCGCTTTTGCTGTGCACAGGGCATGGGCACTGGTCTAACTAGGCAGCTGGCACATTTGACGAGTGGCACGTCTGTAGCAGTCGGTTTTCCTGGCTTGTTTTCTGCCTTCCTTTTTGCTGCCTGGATGCCATGCACGTTTGCACCTTTTGCGCCTTTGCACTTTCGCATTTTTGCCCTAGGAATGACATCTATGCAGTGCTGGACTCACACGAGCCAGGCGACATTGTGAAGGCGGGACCACGAGCTGGGTAGAATCTAGTCGGGTGGGTCCCACGCCCTCTTCCCCGGCTTCGTTCCAGCAATTGGGCTCCGGCCTTCCAATTGAATGGCTTGCCAGGCTCCTCAGCTCGCAGTTCTTCAGTATGTTTCAGACTCTTGTGGAGTCTGACGTGCGGGGACCTTCGCTTGGGTATCAATTTCAGTGCAGGTTTCGCATCGACTGGTTCCCTTGAGACAAGCCCTGCTGACAGTTGTTTTGTTTCTTTTTTCTCTCCTCTCCTTGGTCGCTAGACTCAAAGTGGCCATCCGCCGCAATGCCACCCGCGCCCTGAAGGCCCCGCGCCAGCCAAAGCCAAGACCCAAGGCAAACCTGAGGGCGAACCTGGTGGAGCGGGGGATTCTTCGAGGTGAGGCAATTTGCCGCATTTCGTCTAAAGTCAATGTCAGGCTCCTTTCCCTCCCGCCGAAAAGCGGGCGCCTCTTAGCTCAGCTCTGGGCGGCCAGGTGGTGCTGGTCCGGCCCGACGAGCCTCAGAACCTCGGCCCGGCGCCGGGCGAAGGGCCACGGAGTTTTGGTCAGTTTTGAAAGCCAAAGTTTGCACATGGGCTATAGTCAGCTTCCTTCTTCCAGTGGGTTTGGATTGGTTTGGTGGTGTGGATTGGTTTGGATTGGTTTGGTGGTTTGGATTGGTGGTGGTTTGGATTGCTGGTCTCCCAGCTCATGCCCTCAAGAACCAGGGGTTCGAATCCTAATCCAAACCACCAATCCAAACCAACTGGGGATATCCGTTTTAGGAATCCGTCTGATTCTGCACCGACGCTCCGTTTTTCTCGCGCCGACAGGGCTCCAGCCACACGGGGTCTTATGCTCCACACGAGCTACCGGCACGGCACGACATTCCGCCAGAAGGTTCTGCAGGTTTCGGAGCCCGAGGCAACACCGTTGCAGCCAGAGGGCACTTTGGGCTCCAAAGCCAAGCAGCATGTCGCTGTGGGTCAAAAATAGGTACCTACTGGCGCGTGGAGCCAAAGACTAAAACCTGCGGTCCCCTGGTGGTTTACTTTTGACCCCATACCCATGCCGCCATGATGTCATGAAGGGCGGGTCGCCTGACGCGCCCAGAAAGAAGAATAGGAAGAAGCGGCGGCAGCCGCAGCCGCAGCAGCGGGCGCCGGCATTGAGAGACTTGGTGATGACTGGTGCCCCAAATCGGCCCAATGTCAAAGCAACGTTTAGAGTTTTCTTACTCCGGGGGAGAGGTGAGACCACCTCAAATTTGGTCAGAAACAGAGCTCCAGTGAAGCTTGCCCTCTTCTGCCCCGAATGACCGCAGCGACTTTGGGTTTGGCGTTCTTCGTCCGCTGTAGGGGAGATCCTGCGGTCCGCGCTCCCGGACCAAGTCCAGCTGGAGGTTGGGGCTCCAAGTTTGCGGCACGGGGACCCTCGCGAAACTTCCGCAACACGGCGTCAACAACAAGCACGTTTTGCCCACTCAAGCGCTGTTGAAAGAGAGACCTCCCAAAACAACAAGGAACAAGGAAGCCCAAACAGCAACAAGACACAAACATAGAAACTAACAACACACAATAGCAAAAACTGGGCGGCTGGGCCTTTCTCCTCCATATCTCCTCCATTTCTCCTCCTCCATCCTCTGCTTCTCCATCCTCCTCCATCCATCCTCCTGCCTTGCGACTTGCCCAATGCCGACCTTTTGACCTTTTGGTGTCCCATGTTTGGGTTCCCTTTTTTAGTAAAGCTCCCAAAAAGTGATCACCTTTTATATTTCTGGGTCCTTTTAAGCAACTGAGGAACATAACATGCGGCTTGGGGCAACTTGCGGTTTCTATGGTCGCGGACTTGTTTCCTGGTGGAATATTCACCTACCAGGCCCGTCTATTTCCCCTAAATACCTATGGATCCGGCGGCTGGGCAACTTGCGGTTTCTAAGTCGCGGAGTTTTCTTCAGGCGGTGCAGAACTGCCTGGGCCACGTGCAGATCTTGGCGCGGCAGCTGCTGGGAGCATCCGTGGTGGTTCAGGGCTCCTACGCCCAGGTGGGGAACTTTGGGTTTGGTTTGAGGGGGGCAGGTTCTTGGTCTGGCACTGAAACTGTTGTTGTTTCTTTTCTTCGGGGGGAAGGATGGTTCGGAAAAAGAAGGAATCAAAACGCATGCATCTTGGCCATATGAAACACAACCTTTGCCAGCTGTTTCAAAGAGTCCCTACATTTGCCAGGTGATTTTTAGGGGGGGTGATGTTGTTTATCCCGCTGGATTGGTTACACCCCCTCTCCTAATTTTGACCCTAAATCCGCCCTAAAGTTGACCAGGACATCACACAAACGTTTGGCCAGAATCCACGAGAACGGGTCGACAGGAATACGGTGTATCCCTCGCAAAGTCCTGTTCAATCAGCTCAGGGGGTCGACATCCTAAGCAGATGTTGCATTCCGGGAGCGCACAAAGGATCGACCAAAGCTGGGGGACCACCTGGCGCTGAGTCGATTTTGTGACCACCTCAGGAGTTGCTGGGAGCGGCTTCGGAAGCAAAACCGTTGAACAGATTAGCCTTACCGTAGTTTGAGACAGGCAGAAAGCCAAGTTGGCCTTTGTGCGTTTAGCACTAGGAGGGCAAGAATTGAGGACCCCAGAATGGTTGGCATTGGCCTGTGGGGTCAAATTTGGGTATTCACCAGGATTCCATTTTTGGCACCCATTTTTTGATCCACAGTTTGGTTAAAGTGCCCCATGGCCGCGATCTTTCGGCCAAGTCCTGGGGAGAGGGCTGTTTTGGCGTTGCGCCTCGGGGGTTTCCGTTGGAAGAGCCGGGTTCAAGGTGGGCGTCCGCACGCACCCGATTTTTTTCGCCCGTGATCCGACACCGGGGTACGTTTGGCCAGTTGCGTTCCACAGGTAGCTCCAACAGGCTCGCCGGCGCCGGGTCTGCGAAAGAATGGGAAGCCGGACATCTGAGAAACGCACCAAGCTGAGAGGATCCCCAGCCCCCGCATGGATTTGTAGGGGGGGGGTTGGCCCCTGACCCTCCACTGGTCCACTGCTTTTCCCAGTTCTTTTCTCGAGCGCAGACATGGCAAGCCCCGGGCATCTCCCCCCCCAGCCATCCCCAGCCATCAGAAGGTGGGGGGCGTGCCAGGGCCTCGCTTTGAGAACCTCGGACCTGGACTTGGCGGTGATTCCCTGCGCGAAGCGCCGGCGGGAGGCGAGCGTTTCGCAGTTCCGCATACGCCTCGGCTTCAGGAAAGCGCCCAGGGGGGTTTTCACTTCTTTTTTTTGGGGCGGGGGGAGGGAGGCCCTTCCAAAGGGAAAAAGCGGGAGTGTGTTGCAACAAGACGGTGGTTGGCCCAGGATGGAGGGTTGTTTGAAGCAGATGACTTGGTTATTACTTGGGTTAATGATTGTTGGGCATTTGCCAGTCGATCGCATGCAACAATTCAATGTCAATGCACCCAACGTTCGCCTAGTGGTTCAGCCCTCGAATCATGTTGATACGGTTCTATTTCCCAGAAAGCTGAGCTTGTCCGTGCATGTTGTCTCGCAGGGCTCAAACACGAGAGGCTCGGCACCATTGACGAGACCACAGCATGTGGGCGTATTGGCACTCAGAGATTGCCGGCAGCACTATCGTTATGCTGGCAGAGGGGTGGCAAAGTTTGGATCTAGTTTTCCTGGGGCACTTCGACTCTGGGCAGTCTGAAGCCTTTCGAGGGGAACACAGTTGGGCAAAAATCCGCTGTCCCTCTAGAGCCTCTAAGGGCAACCCTTCCCAACACCTTGGGGCTTGTTTGAGCGGTCCTCAATGAGTTGCACTCGGCCAGGAGGAAGGCGAGGTTCCAGTGGAGAAGAAGCAGGCGGTGCGGTGTTTGCAGCAGTTGGCTACGGCTTTGGCCGAGGCGGAGTTGGAGGAGAGCCTTGAATATCAGACCGGATGCCCTCGTAGAGTCATGTGAGCCACAATCAAAACCTGGGTAGATGGAGGGTAGTAAGGGAGACTCCCAGCCATAAATAGCTGCGGATATCCGCCTTCTGAATTCTTACATGGTTCTGGGTAGACCATTTTAAGACCGGGTTTTGAGCAAGTGACTCATGTTTGGATTGGTGGCATCGGTGGGTAGCCAGGGTGGCAGCTTCCTTTCCGCGTGTCATTGGCTTTGGGCCTCTTTCTCCTTGGGTGTTTTGCCTTTGCCTGAGTACCGCCGAGGGTGCTTGTGTGCATATCGCCTCCCAACAGCATGGAGCCTGACCAGAGGTGCCAAGAAAACTTGATCTTGGTGGCTGCCGTGCCTAGTCAGTGATTCTTGCCGCATGCTGGACTGGTTCAGGAAGCGCCACGTTTCTACAAAGGAGTTCCACAGGTGGCCCAAACACTAAAGCTGCCATGACCTTGCTGGTTCCTGGGGTCAGTGACTGTGAGGGCGTTGTCTTCTTTTCGCAGTGCTCTTCGCTCAATTGTCCTTTCCTGGGATCTTTTCTTGAGTACTTCATGCTGGCCGTTGTTTCTTTTTTTGAAAATTGAAATAGAAGCCAACCATTTTGGGGGTATCTACCGCTATTTTGAGACAGACCCACCAGTTCAAAGACTGTCGTCCCTCCCCGGCCCTCGGAAAACCCCTTTGCGGCATCCGAGGATCCGCGTCGCGCTGCGGATCTTCACGGCCAAGGTGCCGGTGCTGCGGCTGCACTGCGGCGCCCGGAGCGAGCGGACGGTGGTGGTGGACGTGTCAGTGGGCGGCAGTTTGTTGCGGGGCGCCTGCGATCGGGGCGTCTACGCCGTGCTGCAGACGCTTAATCGTCGATCAATGGAGGGCAGAAAGATTCCGGGGGAGTGGCGCGCATCCGTTTTTTCTGAAATACTTGAAGGTGTTGAGAGATTAGACCGTGTCGGCGATGATTTGCCAGTGTCCAGCTTCAAGAAACTTAAAGTCTCCTCACCCCGTGGATTGCTCTTTGTCCTGTTCGGCCTGAGGAGGGACCGCCGGCGCACCGGTGCGGCGCTGTGCCGGCTGGTGAAGCTGTGGGCCAAACGCCGGAAGCTGACCAACACGCTGAGGGGTGGCCTCAGCAGCTTTTCCTTCGTGCTGCTCACGGTCTTCTTCCTGCAGCGGAAATGCGCGCTGCCTCCAGCGCCCCAGGTGGCAAGGTCGGAGCTAGGTGGTTGCCGGTGTTTTTTGTTGTTGTTGGTCATCAGGAGGTGCTCTTGCCACTTGTGATAAAATTCAGGGCTTCCCGGATGAACTTGGAACCTCCAGAGCTATCAGTAGCCTCCGTTCCATAGGGTGTGAATGTGCAATGGAGTACTTTGGGAGCAGCATCGGCCTCTTTATTTTGGTTTTCCGTGTGCGAGCTTGCCATGGTGCTGACATTCTCTAACTCTCACAGAAATATTTGAGGAGGCTCTGTTTGTTGGACGTCGCTTTTCAGAGCAAATCAGAGCAACATTTGGGCATGATTCCGAGGGATTGGGTCCCGACATTTCAGCCTTGACATCTCAAGTGGTGTGTTTGAAGGTTGATTGCTTGCTTGGCTGACCGCTTTCCCTCACTCCACCTCGCCCCTATGGGCGGGTGTGGGTGGCTTTCTGTGTGTGGGCGCTGAGGTGTCTGCGGCGGCGGCGGCGCTGCCGGCCAAGGAAGGGGCCTGCCCCAAGCCCCTGGGGCTTCAGCTGGTGAGCTCAGAGGAGAGCGACGCACCAGCTGGTGCTTGGAGGGCCGAGCTCGAAATTTTGCTGAGGAGGGAGCTCATGTTGACCCCGGATTTATAAGCCCCTGATTGATTAATTGGGATAATTGGGGAGGTGTCCCTGGTTTTAGTGGAGATTCAGATCACTTTTGGAGGGAACACCCCTCTAAACATTAGCTGGTGCTTCTTGAAGAGGAAGGACAGGGTGGCTCATTTTATATACGTTATGAAATTAAATTAAACAGGAGCTCGAAAAAATATCCACCTGATCAACGGGCGGGCAAGGAAAACGTGGGAGCAGTAGCTGAATGGGTTAATGCGGCTGAAAGGAAGCCAATGGAACAGGCCTCTTGGAATTTGACACGAAGCCAGTGGGCAGCAGCAGCACCTTGAACCAGGACATGTTGAATCGGATTCTGGCCAAATCATTGCGAAACCAGGTCGGAGGGAAAGGAGCAGCTTCACACAACATCAATTCATTCTTTCCTTGTCCGAGTCCAGTTAGCTGTTTGATTTGTTTGGCCCTCCAAGTCAAAAGCATCCTTCAGAAACTTCAGAAAGAGAGGTCACGCCTTCTTTCTGACACATTCTGTCTGAAACATGCCCGCTAAGGCAACATTCCTGCCAAAAGGGCGGATTTAGAGCTGTTGGCCAACAAGAAGCATCACGCGGTCCAAGCCAGCCAGTTTGTTGTGACATTGAAATGACTCTAAGGTCCATGTTTGGGGCGCTTATTTGGTCATGGCAGTGTAACATTTTCCTGTGACAACACATTAATGTACGCACCCAAACCTGCACGCCTCTGTGCATATTTAAAAAGATACAATACAGGGTGCGTTTTTTCTTGTTGTTTTAAAACCCAATATAGACAACCATCGCCATGAACCGCTCGCAACACCGACCTTGTAGGCGCGAAATCCGCGAGTGAGTCTGTTTGGGCGCATTGCTCAAAAAGCGCGGCCCGAGCCGTCGGCAGGATGACTTGGCTCAGCTACTGCTGGAGTTCTTCAGCTGGGCGGTGGAGGACTGCGGAACTTCTGGCATGGCGCTGAAGCCGGCGGGGTTCGAATGCCCAGGTTTTGCTTGGGTTTGTTCCTCGGGGTTAGCCTGGAGGGAGAGCAATTACTTCATTTGGCGTGTTGAGACGAGTCCATGTGTGGAAGGAGGTCAGCTGGACCTAGCGTGTTTTTTTTTGCCAATGGACAAGGGTGCTTGTCGCCTTCCAGCCTGAGACGTCGTGGGGCTGTGATCATGGGATGCTGGTTGGCAGTTGGGCTGTTTGCATTGGCTGCGGGAAGCTTGAGCATGTCAAAGCAGGACTGCCCGCCTACAGCGCACGGGTAGATCTTTTCAAGTTCCACAGACCTCGCTTTGGAGCATGGCCCTTGTAGCGCACCTGCGGTACAGGATCGACCTTTTCCGCAACGCCTGCCTCAAGCTGCTTTTCACCACACCTCCGTAAGGGATCCACACAGAGCCAAACCTGGGGACCGCTTGGCGGCTCCCCGAAGCAGTGCCCTTTGCGGGTTTCGGGTTAGGAGTGCGCATCCCTCGCTTGGCACAAGAGAGGAAACCGGAACCGTTGTTTTTGTGATACTAGCGTCAGGTGGCCGGTTGGTGGGTGGGTTGTATTTTTTTTTTGGGGGGGCGTTGGGCAATCGAACTTTTCACCGATCCTTGAGGCCAAGTTGTTAAAAACCAGCTCCCGGGCTCCAAGCCCCCCCTTCTCTCGTTGAATGGGTTCGCTCTGCTCACGAACTCGCCACTTTCCTCGCAGACGAAGCGCCCGACCTGCCAGCGGTTCGCGGCCGGAGGACTTGCCGCAGCTGCAGAACCAGGTGATCTCGGTGGGCTGCGGCTCCGTGCACCCGCGGCCAAACCTTCGTGGCTTCAAGCCTTTGGTGCTGGAGGCGCGGTCCATGGCGAATGCGATCGATGCCGGGCGGGCGATTCCGGGATGGGCGGAATGGTTGCGCTCTCTCTCTCTCTCTCTCTCTCTCTCTCTCTCTCTTTCTCTTTTTTTGGGTTGGTACCCCGGTTTTTGGTGGTTATAAACAGGAAACCACGTGAAAGCCACGTATATTTTTCGGGGTCGCCTAGAAGGGGGATGAGGGCTCCACGGGTGGTTCTCCCTTTGGCTCCACGTGTTTTGTTCCCTTTTCGGGGACCCTCCAACAAACACAGACACACATGTCAGAACGTGGGTTTCTGGGAACCTCCCAAAGCAGATGGTTCCTGTTGGGTTTCCTTCAGAACGCCAAAAACAGTAGCAAGACAAACCCATGGTTATGGTAGTTAATGGGGGCTTGCTTAAACTTGATTATGCCAAGCGGACTTGTTAGAACTTTAGAATTAGGGGGGAATGCGTCCATCTTCATGATAGTTGGTGATGGAAAGTCGCGTTTTTCTCATGCATGGCTGATGGCTTTCGGTGACTGAAGGCGCGCACTCCATGTGGGATGGCTTGTGGTTAACCTTTCGAGCGACGGGAGGCTAATTCAGGAAGACATCACGTCGATTCGGTTGGATCGTCAGCCCTTGACTGCTTTGACCTATTGGGCGAATGCAAATGTGTGCGTGTGTGTTATCGCCAACCAACGAACAAGAAGAACCTGTCCTCGTTTTCGAGCCATTTATTCTGGGATGATTCGGGTCAAATGGTCACAAAGGGCCCCAAACAGTTGAACTCAAAACAAGCTCGAAAGAGGTTGGTGGACTCTCACATCTCCTGGTAAAGGATGGTGCCAATTGAATTCCCAATGTACTGCAGGTTCGGAGGATGGCGGAGGGGTGGGACTGCCAAGACATTCCTTGGAGGTGAGTTAGTTGGCAGGTGGGCGTGGTCGCCAATGATGGGACATGTGAAAAAGATGCCTCCAACTCGCAGAACGCTGCGATGATATGTGAAGGTGGGCGCCCTTGCGAGCAGCTTTTGCAATTCCAAGGTTTGAATCTGAAACCATGGTGCCTCAGGGTTTGTCGCTAGTTGGGCCTGGTTCTTGAGTGAATCAACATGGTTGTGGTTGGGAAACAGTTTTCATTTTTGCTTATTGTCGTTTAGTGGTTGAAATCCAAATCCACTTAACTGCTAAAATTTGAGGATTTTTGCTCCCCAAACCCACCGTCAACCAAGTCAAGAGGACAAGTCACCGAGTTTTGTGTCGGGTTGCCCGTTGCCTGCGGGTTGCCCGTTGCCAGGTGCCTTTCAGTGAGGCGGAGAACGCTGCCAGGTGTTTGCGCATCGACGTTTGGGAAGGCCTGGAGAAGCGTCGCTTGCAGTCGGTGAGTCGCTCGCGTTCTGAGGGTGGCTCGCTCGCGTTTTCTGAAGGGTGCCCCGGTTTTTTTGGTGGCTTCAAAGGGGGAACTACAACGAACACCGTAGAGCCGTTTTGGGTGCTCTAAAGAACGACACGCTAGTTGGTGGTTTGGATGTGGCGATTCGGGTTTGAGGCTTTGGATTCAGGGTTCCGCTCTTTGACTACTCCAAGACTTAAACCCAGAGGGACATCAACCACCCTTTGGTTTAAGTATACCTTGTCAAAAAGTAAAACCTTCAAAATTCCACTTTTTGAGGTATAGACCTAAACCCAGAATTTCCTCCTTTGGGTGGACATCAGCCACCCCTTGGTTTCAGTCTACTACCTTGGGGTCCTCAATTCGTGGAACCCTGGGGGCCGACTCACTCCACTCGAAGCCGCGCCTCCGGCCTCGCGCCTCGCGTCTCGCGGCTCGCGGCTCGCGGCGCCTGAGGCGTGATCCTGCGGGAGCTGCAGCGGGCCGCGCGCCTGGCGCGGCAGGTGGCGTCCCAGTCCGGGGCCCAGCGCAGCTCCGCGCTGCGGAGCCTCTTTGGCGCCGGTCACCGCGAGGGGCGCGAGGGGCGCGAGGCGCGGGGCGCAGCGGGGCGTGCGGCCGCCGGGTGAAGGGCCAAAAGCTTTCTTCCCCCCAAACCACACAACAAAAGAAACGGCGTGAGATGGGTGGTTTGTTTTGTTTTGGGAGGGTAGGCTTTTTTTTTTTGGGGGGGGGGTGGTTGCAAAGGGAAACCCAAATGAGAAGGACACAAAAAACAAACAAACCGACATGATATTGGATCAGATGTAGGTTCAGAATGTGCGTTTGTGGTCAGATGCTTGCAGACGCTGGTTGAGATGTTGACCAATGTTGGCCCGCGTGCCTGCTCGTGTTTGTTGGTTCGATGGTGGATGGTCCTGTTGTCCTCTAGCTGATCTTTGCTTGGACCTGACCCATCTGGCCTTGCCGAATGTGGCCTTGCCGTCTTGCCCTCTCTCGGTTCCCCTAAAGTAGACGAATCCGAAAAAAGTGGGTACCCTTCTAAGCTTTCAAATCAGGACCGAGTTTTGGTTCTTCTCAGGCGAGGGGTGGTGCACCTGCAGCCTATCTCTCAGCGGGCAAATTTCCAGGCGGACGCCGCCGCGCCGGCGGAGCCGGCGGAGCCGGCGCCGGAGGCTGTGGAGATCCCCATGTCCCGCAAGCGGCGGCGGAAGGCCCGGAAGGCCCAGATGCGCAAAGCGCCACCAGGCGGGGGGTTTCGAGCCATTTGGGTATGGGTTTCAACATGAAGCCAGGAATTGGGCAGGTTTTAGCCCATGTTTCCATTTGCCAGGGGCAAGCCATTTTGGAAAAAAACGGTTTTTGACCCACCGCCATTTGTCTGGGAACAGAGGCTGGTGGTTGGAGCTGGCCGGAGGGTCTCCGATTGTGAAGTTTTGCGGAGCGGATCGGAGTGCTTACGGACCATGGTCAGCTCCAAACGTGGCCATTTCAACAGCAAATTCCTCCGCAAGTGGCCATTTCACACTTTCGATGTGAGGAACATCGCCACTTTTGGAGGTAAATTCGATGGTCAATTGATCAAGTGGCCATTTCAATAGGAAGACCCCAGTAAGTTGATCAACTTTTGAGGGGAAATCCAGTGACCCGCGCCAGGAGATTTGAAGATGCCGGAGGTGGTGGCGCCGGTAGACCGTTGGCTGGGCTTGCGCTCCTTGCTGGATCCCAGCGCCTAACAAGTGGCAGACAGGTTTGACGATGCCTTCCTTGTTTGTGCCTCACCCTAGGCGCTAGGAATCCCTTGGAGTTTGAAGCCAGCATAATTTGATCGTTTCACAATGTAATTATTTTCCCGCAAGCAGTGTGTGCTCCCTGCTAGGCTCCTTCTTTGTTGTCTTCCTCGCTGGTTCGGCGGTTTGTGTTCTATGAGATTGCTTAGGAGTTGCATCAGTACTTCTAATTGTTGTGTTTGTTGCCTTGCTTTGTGCTCTGCATGTGAGTTTTAGACTCATGTGCGGTCTGTGATTGGCCCGGGGGGGCCCGGCCTTCCCCCGGGGAAAAGGCGTCATGCAGCGCGGGGAGAGAAAAAAAAGGGCCTTGCTGCAAGGCCCGCAAGGCTGGCTGAGAACTTGCAGACAGGCCTCCTGGGCTGCACCCCAACCTCTCCCATGTGTTTTGGCAAGCTTGCAAAGAGCTCCTCATGCTTAAGGCGCAGTCAATGACCAGGCGCCCCAGTTTAACAGAAGCCGAAGGGGTGTTTGGGCAAATTCGAACGCATCTCTCCGCAGAAATCCCTCGGGCATCTGGGAAGCCTTTGACGCGTGGAAAGCCCCTAGGCCTGCCAGACGCGCGAGTCACCTTCAGAGAGCTGTCCCTGCAGATTCGCCTCAAGGAGGCACCGCCGATTGGGGGCAAGATGGGCGGGCAGGTGAGAGGAACAGCGGAGTGAAGGTTCATATGGTTTACTTCCTTGCTTCCTTGCTTCCTTGCTTTCTTGCTTCCTTGCTTCCTTCCTTGCTTGCTTGCTCGCTTGCTTGCTTCCTTGCTTCCTTGCTTTCTTGCTTCCTTGCCTCCTTGCCTCCTTCCTTGCTTCCTTACTTCCTTGCTTGCTGGCTGGCTGGCTGGCTTGCTGGCTTGCTCGCTGGCTCGATTGCTCGCTGGCTCGCTGGCTCGCTGGCTCGCTTGCTTGCTTGCTCGCTGGCTCGCTTGCTTGCTTGCTTGCTTGCTTGCTTCCTTGCTTCCTTGCTTCCTTGCTTCCTTGCTTCCTTGCTTCCTTGCTTCCTTGCTTGGTTGCTTCCTTGGTTGGTTGCTTGGTTGCTTGGCTGCTTGGCTGCTTGGCTGGTGAGCTGGTTGATAGTTGCTTTGTGTGTTTGCTCTTTTGCGTTCATGTGCCCATGTGTTTGTATTTGTGTTTTCTCTGTGTGTGTGTGTGTGTCGTGTTGTGTTGTTGGTTTTCCCTCATTATTACTACTCGACTTGACTACAGGTGGGTTGGTCAGCATCCTGAAATTGAAATGCGCTGTAAAGCAGTAAGAAGGCGCCGCAACCGAATCCCGCCAATTAGCCGCCAATTGATACGTGGACGATTCGAGAATGGAGCGTGCGGAAGAAAACTGTCACCTTGAAATTGTTTTTGCACTTCAAAGTTTCGACTTTGGAGCCGGCGCTGCAAAAGTGCATTTTGCGACTGCTTGCGTGACTTTTAGAAGAAGCGCTATTGACTTGTACTTTGTGCACTACTTGTATATTCTACGGCTATGTAACTATTTTATTTAATACGCCATATTTCCAGCCCTCCGATCCGCCAACCGAACGATAGCCGATGTGCGCTAAGGGAGTCCATGTAGCACGTGGCTGTCACCTAGAAGTTGCTTGCGTGAGCTGCGGGTGCACTCGGGTACTTCTCCTGTACTTGGTGGCTCCCAGCCATCCCCTTAGCTTTTAGCCTTTTCGTGTTTAGTGGTAGTTTCCATTTAACCCGCTAAGAGTTAGTCATTTTTAGTGGCGGATCTGAGGGCGGCCCTGTGTACTGAAAACTTGCGACTTTCCAGCTGGAGCTGTGGAACCGGGCGCTGCGGAAACGCGCCTCGCGCGCGACTTCGCAGGGAAAGGTCAAAATCGTCTGTTCGATTTGCAGTTGTTTGCGCTGAGCCTCGTCGCGTACTTGTTGTGCATGAGCATTGGGGGTGCTTTGCGGCTCATTTTCTGGAAGCTGCGCAACCTGGCAACGCATGCTGCTGAAGGACTAGCACTAATCAACCACCCACGAGTGGTAGACGTGTTTTCGACTTGGGAAATCCTACTTTGTTTTGAATTGCTGTAGAGCTTAGAAAAGCTTCCTGTCAACTGTTGCCTTCCCCCAAACGTGCACAGGATGCGAATTCTTTCCCAAACGTGCACAGGCGCCTTCTGAAGTGCAAAGAAGGAGAGGTAGGGGCTCAATACTCAAACTAACAAAGACAAGCAAGAGAGCAGCTACTTGGGACCCTTTCCACTCCCAGCGGCCTCGGGGTGACTCGATCGCCTCGATCGCCTCGATCGCCTCGCGCAGGTGGAGCAACAAGGTTCCGGTTAAGACCAGGCCCGGCTTTGGCTTGGGGCATGCCAAGCTTGAAAGCTCCCAGGCTTTGTTTGGGGAGATATGGGCGATATGGTCGTCGTTTTTCTAGGGTGCCCCTTTTTCGTGGTTGAAAGGGAAACCACAAGGACGACACGCATTCGGGGGGTTCACCTATTTTGAGGCAACAGGGGCAAACCCCGTTCAATCTCACCACTCGGGGATGGCATGGCATTGCGGGTAAGATGTTGGCCAGTGGTTTGTCCCGTACCTATTTGAAACCTTGAAAGAGGCTGACATGTCTGAGTGGCGCAAAGGGCGCCCCGTCCAGAAAAAGACCTGCGAGCAAGTGGGAATCACAGCTCGTGGTAGGGGCTCAGGACTCAGTTTCATCGGGGTTCTCCATGTGCGGTGAGGTTTGAGGAGTACTCCCTCCTGGAGGCCCAGATTTGAAGGTGTCCAGCTTGCAGAGTTTCTCTCTGGATTGGCTCGGGCCAACAGCCCAACAGCCCCCGGCCCCTAGCTCCCTCGGTGTAAGCTGGCTAAGGACTCAAGCCCCCCCCTGTTGGGTTTGATTGGTTGGTAGCTTCCGTGCCAGTCAAACAGAGACGAGCATGATAAAAACAAGTCAATCACAAGATGGCTGGGAAAGCGGCGTTGAAGCAAGGTGATAGAGCGCATGGTGCTGGTAACAACCAAGGGGTCCAGGGGCCGGCAATTTGTTAATTTCTAGCAACAGCGAGCTTCTTCCCACGCTGAGCAGCCAGCTGGCCAGCTGGAGATTGTGCAGAGCCCTTCGGGCCTTATCTTCAGGCATAAAGCGCTTAAAGGGCCGGACAGGCGGATTGAATGGATCGGGGTGATGTGTTTAGTTTTCTTGCGGGTGACAATAAATCTTCCTTTTGGACGTTGTATGGCAGTCTATGCAGCCTCCCTTTGAGTGCTTGCCGACAAAAACGGAACAGGTCTTGCAGCACAGTGTGAAAAAGTCAACCGAGGCCATCATGCACGTTCGCATTTGCTCAGTGTCCCGCGTTGCAGCGTGAGCATGCTCGCATACAGCAGCCAGAGGCTCACAGGTAGCATTCGCAAGCCTCAGGCCGCCATATTCTGAACTAGCCCTTATGAGTGAGGTCCAAAAACTTGGCATGTGTGGCCTCTTGCCGCATCAAAGTTGCAGACCGGCCATTTGGAGACGACTTTGTGGCCGGCTAGGCCTTCCATGCGGGAAGCGCTAAACCATGGCATGCGCCAAGCGCGGAATGCTTTGCGATCAGAGCTGCTGGCAAGGCACGGCAAGCCCAAAAGGGGTTCCCCGGACCTCAGCAGCCGTAGGCTGACTGGGTTTGAGGGGGCGGTGGAAACCCGGCACTGGCTCCTCCAATCAGTTCTCGGTACAGTCCGGGCCTTGCGAGCTAGGTTTTCTATCCACGGCTATGTTGCTGCCTAAAGAAAAGCCGAAGCGAGTTGGCTGGCAGGCTCAAGGACAAAGGCGCCTCGAAGCTGTCGACGCTGCAAACCGTTCAGCAGCTGAGGGACCAGGCGAGTGTGGTTTGGGCAATCCATGTGGATGTGGCATGTGGCGCGGGTCAGCCCGTGCCGTCAAGGCTCCAGATTATATCAACATGCAGGGTCGGAATGGCGAGCCCCCCGAAAGGCCCTGAAGCAGCAGAGCGGGAAATGGGATATCCCACATGGGGGTTGTCTACTGATCCCCCGCCACCCCCACATTGTTGCGCATGTCCTGAGGGCTTGCTGGGCAACGCAGGGGGCCTCAGCCTGACCTTGGCATTGCGCGTTTCTCAGCACGTGATTTGTGTTGCAGTGCTTTGTTTGAAGTTTCATCCCATGTTGGTTGAGGGTTCGGCCCCTTGGAAAGGAGGTCGCAACCAGTCGCTGCCCAGGCGCCCCATGCCCCGCCCCGCAGGGGTTTTGGCTCGCGGAAAGCTTCAGAAGGGACCCTTTGCCGGGGCGTGGCGCTGGTTCCAATGGCGCCCGGCAAGCCGCGGGTTCTTTTCCGGGTCATGGAGAACGGGGAGTCGCTGGGTTTGCGGGCCCTGCGCAGGGAGTTCGGGCGCTACGGGGAGGCCGGGCTGCGAAGTCCTTTTCTTCGGTCTGATGCGGTGGATCGCGTCCAGATGGCAGATTTAACCATGCTTATGCTATGAGGCAATCTGCCTCCCTTGAGGAATGCCCCGCGCCCCCCTTATGGCATAATTATTTATCCATATGATTCTCGGGCGTCACCTTGTCCAAGTGGGCACCCGCCCTTTGCCAAGCACACAAATGTTCAACATTGCATGTCTACACCAGGAATTTTGATAACACGTTGAGGGCACTGGTGCAATTTGATTTGAACTCGCCACTGAGGTCTGAATTTAGTGCAGGGCCCGAGGAAAGCCTATTTGATTGATATCTATTGACCAAGTTGGCAGAGATTGGCAGAGAGGCTTCCGGCAGTCGCGGGGGACGCAACTACTGAAAACATAAGAATTAGTCAAAAGATCCGTAATACATAGGATGACCATTGGGGAAAGCCAAAAAAACATGATACTTCCCGCACAGGACAAGTGACACTTGGTCATTTAGGGGCCGAAGGGAACATTGATCAGCCCCCAGTTGGCTAACCCGACTTCTGTAAGAAAGACCCACGCCGACTTGCTGGGAGTGGTTTAGACGGCACTGGATTTAGTGAGACATTTGAGCCATTTGAGCCACAATCAAAACCCGGGTGGATGAAGGTTTGCAAGGGGCAGTGCCAGCCGGAAATAGTTGCGGCCGCCTTTCTCTAATTCTTTACCTGGTTCTAATTCTTTCCAATTCTTTACACTCGGTGACTCTTACTGAGATTTTGGCATTTGGGGGGATATGCGGGGGGGCTAAATAACCTATGATTCTTCGCCATTTTTGTACCAGGCTTTGATTGTGACTCATTTGGCTGTGGGTCAACACCAACGGGATCCCATTTTCGGGTAGGTGCACCACCCATTTTAGAGCCTATTTTAGAGCCTATCTTAGTGGCTGGATTGGGATGTTCACTGGGGGTAGCCGGGCTTTTGGCCCATGGCCCTTTGGCTCAGCAGCACTGCCCCACCTTCAGGTGGTGTGCGCCCTGATCCGCGTGGACTCGGCGCGGCAGCCCTTGACCGTGGAGATCGAGTTCTCCAGCAGCAAGGAAGAAGTGGGGTATGGGGAGTGCCCAGAAAGGCCTTTGCGATTTCGTCCAATTTGTGTGTTTGTCGGTTTTTTTGGCCATGTTATTTGTTGGTTTGTTGGTTTGTTTGATTGTTTCTTTGTTTGTTGGTCGGTTTGTTTCATTGTTTGTTTGTCTTTGTCTCGTTTGTTTGTTTGTCTTTGTTTCTTTTCTTATTTGTTTATTTGCTGTTCTTGTTTGATGGTTTCTTTGTCTGTTTGATTGTTTCTTTGTTTGTGTCCGAAAGCCCAAGAAAATCCTTGACGTGTTCTGGCAACATCAATGTGTGCAACATGCCTCCCTCGCCCAGGAGGCCACACGTGCAATGCAGCCAGGTGTTGGGGGTTCGGTTAGGGCCTGGTTCTAGGGGTTGAGTCCCTGGCCAGTCTTTTCAACCATCGCTCTGCTCAAAAACCGGATCCTTGTTTTTTTGGGTTTCCGGAGGTTTTCTGGAAGGATCCCTCGAAAGAATGGAAATGGAAGGTATCCCTAGTGGGGTCCGTGGCCAGGACACGCTGCGCGTGAAGGGCTGGACGGGGAAGGGCTGCCACCTGCCGCTGTACAAGCCGGAGGGCCTGGTGGACGCCTTCCGCAGAGACGCCGACTGCGCCTTCCTTTGCCGCCCGCCGGAAGTGGAGGTTTTTTGTTGAAATCAAACCGGCGAACGCCGGGTTTCTGCTTGGCTGGCCAAAGGGGGGGTGGAACTGAAGCAACTGGAACCCCGGGGAGGAAAAGGGGGACTTCAACCCACTTGGAACGCATGTCGCGGCTGAGGGCAAGTTGTTTGGACGACATTGGGCGACTTGTAATGTTAGACTTGTTTGATTTGCCCGCCCCCCCCCCCCCGGCAACAGTCAAAACAGTATTAGACCAGATGCGACATTCATAGACTCTATCAGGCCGGACTGAGCCGATGGTTTGACGTTGTACGTTTTGATCCGGAGCGCTGAGTGCCTGGCAACAGCACGGGTCAAATTGAGGGATTGAGCCTTGGCTCAGGCGGGAGCAGCCGGCTTTTTTCAGGTGAAGCTGCATGGTCAAGAATCACTTGGATTCCCAGCCTTTCTAAATGGTGCAGCCGGACAGAAGTCACTCGTTAGTTGCGCGTGAGGCTTGCAACAATTGCTACGGGTGTCGTGTGTCTGTTCCAACCGCCATCGCCCGCCAGGACATTACATGAGCAGTCTTAAAATGTCTTAAATGTGGTGTTGTTGTTCTTGATGCTGGTAGAAAGGTATTGCTTGAACATGGTCGTGGCGTTTGACTGCATGCAGTCAGAAACAAGAACCGCGGCACGCGAAGAAATGCATCAACCGCCATGGTAATTTCACACGAGGACGCAGTTTGGGGTTCCCAATGAGCGAGGTTATGCGGACAACTTCGACAAGCGGGTCAACAGCTTCAAGGACCTTGCGACGCCTGGCCAGCAAGAGGCTGAAGAGGGGCTGCTTTGCATCGGTGAAAGCATCCAAGGCCCTCAAGACACGGCGTTGGCTGAATTTTGAGACCTGGCCCTGGCCCCCCTTTCCGAATTTGGCTCCCAGAGCATAAAATCGTTCTCTCTCTCACTGGCATTTGTCTACATGGGCCTCACCCTCGATGGTCCCCATTGTTGGGGGCCAGGATGGGGCCGTGCTGCCCCTCCGTTTTTGCCAGGAATGGGCCGTTCTCATGTTTGAGTCAGCCTGGAATTGGCCCCTAAATCTTGAGCACAGCCCCGGTCCGTTAGGTACTTCGCCCAGTACGTCACAGACTGGTGCTCTGCGAGCCTAAAGACCTGCAGTCTTTGTTGGTCCCCCACCCGGGGCGTCTTCGCGCAAATGGAGTGCGTGCAGAAGGCAGACCAGGCGAGGCTCAGGTTCAGTTTCTCAGTTTCCTCCATGTTTTAAAACAGTTATTGTAAGCGCTTCGCGTTGCTCGCCTCGGCCAAGCATGCAGGAAGGGGGGGGGTTGGGGAAGGGGAAATGCAAAGATTCCCTTTGGACAAGAGACCTGATCGCCCGCACCAAGGTGAGGCGAACTATGGTCAAACTATGTTGCAGGGTGCTCTGAAGTTGGACATGTCGAGACTTGCGGGATGCCTTCTGCATGCTTTTGGAACCCAAGATAGGAGCGGGTGATCAGCAAGTTGATGACCGAGCTCTATGGTGGCAAGCGGCTGTCGGTCTCCTCGGTGGCCGGCGGGGACTACCAGGCATCGGAAGCGGTTTCGTCTTGTTCGACCAGGGTCACTAGACTGGGACTTCGTATTGCCAGGTTCCGTGCTTAAGACGCTAAGTAGCCCATATTGCTTGTGAAACGACCAATTAGGAAAACAAAAGGGGACAGGGTGTTGTTATTTTTTTGGGCCGATACCTTGACCATTCGAGATCCCTGCATGAATCATGACGAGCGAACGGAGGTTCGCTCGGGAAGTGGACAAAAGGGAGCTGGAGCTCAACTCGAAGTTGGCCCCGGCACTCACCGCCCACAGCCTTTCATGGGTTTTGCGGCTCCCTTTCGCATGGTATGCGCACAGCGCCCATGGTTGGCAGAAAAGGACCCCTGATGTTGGATTGATGTTTGAGACTAAGCACTTCGTCATTCGCAGGTGTGGCTATCTCAGTGGCCAAAACCAGCAAAGAGTCTCCGACACTTGGGTCCGTCATGTCTCTTATTATGGTTTGGCAAGGCCCTCTTTTCGGCTTGCTAGAAAAGCTGGCTGGTGCCAAGGCAGTACCTACTGCTTCCACAAGGTGTTTCGAGCGAGGTACTGGTCGCCTTAAAATGAGTCGTTTCCCTTTGAAGCTTCCATGACAAGCCACCCGCACAAAGGGTGCATGTACCAAACAAACACGGAAGGAAGTACTGCTTTGATTGCTCCTCAAAAAGGGTGCACTTTCAGAAGCAGACCTACTCTTTCACTGCGACCCCTCGTCGCAGCTTGAAACCGACCCCCGTCTGCTTCTCTCTCGTTGTTTGCAGCCAAATATGGTCAAGGCGCCCTTGTACAACCCTTAGCCTTGATATATCCTTTGGCTGCTTAGAGTGATTTTGTTTGGGGGAGGGGTCGCCAAATCCAAGGTTTTTCTCGAAAAACGATCCCCCCCATTTGCGAATCTGTTGCCCTCTCGTGTTTTTCCTCTTTCTGTGTTTGGTTCGCCTTCACTCGCGCCTCGCCGCGCCGCGCCGCGCCGCGCCGCGGGCGCCTCGTCGCGAGGGCGTGGTGGAGAAGTCCTACCGCGTGGACTGGTCCGTGGTGGCGTCCGAGGCGGCGGTGGCGGGCATCGAGCAGAAGGAGGCGGTGAAGCTGGAGAAGCTCGAGAAGCTGGCGGGGGGGGGGGGACTGGAGAACCGAATCCTAAAAATCGGCGTCCCTCCAGTCGGTGGTTTGGTTAAGGTGTGTGTTTCCCCCTTATGCACCATCTACCAACGAAAAGAGAAGAAGGTGACCCGTCAGGTTGGTGGCTTGGATTTGTGGTTTGGATTTGGATTTAAACCCTGGATCTTGTGGGTAGATGGGAAAAAGAGAAACAGGGCACCCCCAAGCTTAGGTTGGCCACATGCTGAAAGCCGATTCGGCTAAATGTAGGTTAGTGGGGGATGGTCCCAGCTACCGACAGGGAACCCGAGAGTTTAAGGGACACCCGTTTGGGCGTCCCTCTGAGGTTCCCATGTTTGTCTGTGGCAATGGAAGCCAAAAGGAAAACCGATGCCATTTTTCAGCCATGCCGAAGCAAGTGGGACATCAATACTCTCTTCGGCCGGCACATGACCAGAGAGAAACTTTTCCTGTTTGGGGAAAGCCATTTTTTTGGGGGAGGACCCTGATGGTCCTCCCATGTTAAGGACCTTTTGATCAACCTCCAATTGGTGTTTTAACAACCAAGAGTTCAAACCACAAATCCAACCCACCAATTCAGGGTTTGTGTGTATGGGTGGGTGCTTTCGGGAAACCAACAGACACCCAGAAAAAGGGGGATGCTCTGAATCACGGCAGGATCAAGCTGCTTGCCGGGGTCCTTTGACAGGGCTCCTTAAAACAAAATAATTTTGCCAATTTGAAACATGGCTTTTTCCACCAAAATAAAGGGAACCCACCATTTACAAGGCAATGTTCAGGTGTATAATGTAAGGATCCCTGTTTGACTCTGTGTGTATGGGTGGGTGCTTTTGGTTTCCCTGGGTTGCTTTGACGGGAAACCAACAGACACCCAGAAAAAGGGGGATGTTCTGAATCACGGCAGGATCAAGCTGCTTGTCGGGGTCCCTTGACTCAAGGTTGTTTGAGAGGGAACCCGCATGCTGGGCTTGAGGCTACCTGCCATCCGAGGCTGCAATTCGAAGGGCCAACAGCAAACCAACAGCAAACCGCTGATTTCGGGGACCTTTTTGAAACACAAAGCACTTTGTGTTGGGTCCCCTACGCCGGATGGTGCCAATCACCGGGCCACTGGCTGAAGGATTTGGTTCGGGGTCTCTGGTCTCTCTGGTCCCCTTGGGCTTTGTTGAAAGTGCAACTGCCATGCTTGGACTCAAACTCCATCTGCCGACTTGCCCAGGCCAGAAAAGCGGCAGAGAAGATGGAGAAGAAGAAGGACTCCAGTCCTGATGTCTCAATTTTTGGTCACCGGATGTAATCTCCCCCTTTACAAGGGGGTTAGTCTTTGGGAAGCCCTTTTTGGTGTATCACAGAGGTGGGTTCCATTTCCCACAGCCCTGGATGTGGTCGTTTGCCTTTGTCTCTTCTTGCTGGCCTTGGGCCGTTTTGCAAACTCTGCCCAATTGCTTGTTGGAAAGCCAAGCCGCGACCTTCTGCCATCTTCGTTCGTTTGGACCTCAAAACGGCGTGCGCTTGTGGAGTTCGTGACAAGTGAGGATAAGAAGGAGAAGAAAGACAAGAAGGAGAAGAAAGAGAAGAAGGGCAAGAAGGACAAGAAGGACAAGAAGAAAAAGAAGGACAAGAAGAAGGAGAAGAAAAGCAAAAAGGACAAACAGGACAAGAAGGAGAAAGCCCCGAAGAGCCAGCCGAAGGTGCAAGAAGACACCATAGCGAGCCTCCCCGAGCCCGAGTCCAGCGAGGAGCCGAGTTCGGAGGTGGCCCCGGAAGGCCGGAGATTCGCCTGGGAGACGTCGTCTTCCTCTTCGGAGCCGCCGCCGCCCAAGAAGCGCAAGGAGGTGGACCTCAAGTCATTCGGACCCATGGCGGCTCTGGCCGGCTCGGACGAATCCTCGTCCTAGGCTCACACGGCACCGCTCTTCCGACTCTTCCTGGCGCTGGCGAGGCGCTGGAGAGGAAACCTTCAAGGGGGTTCCATCCCCTGCTTGAGCTGGTGAAGGAGGACATCGTGCCGAGGACATGCCAGGACATCCCAAGACAGGGCCACTTGAAGAGATTCACGCCGAAGAGGGCTCCACACCAAGTCTGTCAACCATATCATCTTAGAAGTACGGCAATCCTGACGGCCTTGGACGGAAGTGAGGGTGACTGAGTGGCCGAGAGATTGGCATATTCAAGCAAAAGGTAGCAAACGCCAAGCGGGCGGTTCGCAGGCGCAAGACATGATGGGCTAAACTGCCGTGCCATGTCGAATCTGAGTTTGCCTGGCTTCCGCTTGACCTGCGGGGTGCTTAGTCCCGCGCTTGCCCAGGCGAGGGACTACACTGCCACAATCACTGCCCTGGGGAGGGTCAGCGACTGGCATCAGGCAGGATGCTTTTGCTTGCACGGAGGTGAGAGTCGCCGGAGCCAGCAAGATGCCAGTCGCCGCGCGGCCGTGTGGATCAAGACGTAGATTTTGAAGCTTTTGACTTGTGCGCTTCACGACTGATGGTTTGTGGATGTGTTTGGAGCTTGCGCACGTAGAGAGGCCCAGGCTGCCATTTTTTTTGCAGGCCCAAGTTGGGAATGCATGGGCTGTGCATCCATTGGCACCGATCCCAGATCCGCAGCCAATGAACCGACCGGGATGCAGCGTGAGGAAGACCTGCTGGCGAACGGCCAATTGATCAAACATCTTCAGGAGCTTTCAAGGGTCACTGGCAGCACGTCAGGCGCAGTCACTTGCATCCTGGGCAGGCGAGTCATTGACTCAGTTCTTCAAAGCCGACCTTGTGACCTTTTTGGTTCTTCCCTTTTTGTTTCTCCATTTTTAGTAGGGCTCCGACAAGGTGATCACCTCTTTTTTTCCAGGTGCTTTGGGCAAGTGGAGGCTCAAAGCCAAGACCTCTCCACGTCAGGAGGGAGGCCGCGGCGCTTCTCCCGTCTGGGGCGACGAAGTGGTTTTCGATGTCTCCGTGGCGGAGGCGGCCGCGTGGTCTCCCAAGGTGCCCTTTCTCACCCCCTTTCTTTGGGGGGAGGGTTCCCCTACTAAAATTGACAACTGAAAAAGTTGGTACCCTTATTCTAACCTCTCTATTGGAGGACCTAGTGCAGCATAGGTGTCCTTTTTACGGTTAGTTTGGTTAAAAATAGATGGGTTCCACTGGTTTAGATGGGGTTTATGACCCATTTGCCAGGGAAGCCCATCTATTTTTCCAAAAGGCCACCTATGATCTGAAGAGCCTGAGCATGTTTGAGCCATGTGCAGATTTCGCAGCTGCAGTTTCGAATTGGCCTTCCTTTGCTGTAGTGACATATGAATATCAAGCATGGGGACTCTGCTGTTTCGTGCAGCCAATTGTCGGATGATCGAAAACACGTGTTGTTGAGGCGTTCGGTCCGGCATGCGCAGGGCAGAAAGTCGGCCTAGTTTGCAATCAGAGTGAGTCATGGCCAGTACTAAATCTGCAGCCACAGTGGCAGCAGATTTCAGGGTCCATGGGGTGCTGTTTGGGCGTCGAGTAATGCAAGCTTTGCTGTGTCGCATCCCCTTCCTAGCAAGTGGCTTAGATGTGCGATGCCGACATAGGGCTTTCGAGTCGGAATGCTTCCTACGATTTCCATTTCAATGGAACCTGAGGGGAGGGGGGCGGAAGAAAAAACGGGGGCTGTCAGGCAGGGGGCTGTCAGGCAGGGTTCAAACGACCCCTGTGTCCTCATGCACGTTTCCGACCTGCCCGCGCAGTTCGGCGCGCATCCCTTGGTCTTATGGGAGCAGACTTCGTGCCGGCCGCTGGGCTGCAACTGCTTCGGCGCTTCGCACGGTGAAGTAGGCGTTTTGTGGGCCACGCAAAATCAGCTGGGAGATACGCCAGCACCATCAAGCAAAGACAAGCCATTGACCTGATTTCCACCTCCACTGGCAGTCCGGAGCTGCCGGAACTGTACATTGGCAAGGCATGCCAATAAGAACAGCCTGCCGTTGCGCGAGCAAAAGCACTTGTCGGCCATTTTCTGTACGCTTATCTAGAAACTCGCTCTACTTCAGACTTTTTAAGAAGGCCATTTTAGTGGTACAATATGGTACATAGAAAGCTTGGACTTTTTGTTGCAAATCCACTCAGGAAGCGAGGCTTAGCACGCTTGCCCCTTACCCAGCCTGCGGTGGAGGCTGTGATTGTGGCTGGTTTCTCCTCTTGCCTTATCATGCCCCGTTTCCATTTCGTGACACATTTGCAGGCAGGACATGGCATGAGAGAAGAGTGCCAACCTCGGATTCCATTCTTCCCCCCCCCCCCCAAAAAAAAAAAAAAAAGACCTTGAAAACACCCCCCCCAAAAAAAAACCACAGAGAGCCTGAAAACAGCCCCCTCCCCCCTTAAAAAGAAGACAAAAAACGCAAAGTCGCAGCTCGGAGGCACGTGCTGGGAGCTGGCCACCTGCCGGAAGCCTTCTGCGTCATGCTGAGCTCCATGCGCCCTAAGGAGAAGGCCATGCAATGTCTCCACTTTCCCAATGGATTGATCAAACATCTCCAGCATCTTTCAAGGGTCACGGGCAGCATGCAACTCAGTTGTTCAAAGAAGACCTTGCGACCTTTTGTTGGTTTGCTGGAAGCTCCCCCCCTTCTGGATTTCTAGGAGGCCATGTTGAAATCCATCTTCCTTCTTGGGCTTGCGACTCGGCCCCCCGACAACGAGGTCCAGCGCGTCTTTCGCAGCCCATTTTGGTCATACACTGGCCAAAACGGGTCAAAGCTGAGTTTTAACCGGGAAGGGCGGACAAAGTTGCTGAGCGGTGTTTTTGTCACGCTCCCAGCGTTGCCTTCCCGCTATGTATATATATATATATATATGTAAGCACTTATCCATACAGATGCTGCCACAGCCCTGAGCCATGTTCCCAAGCGCATGTGCGCAGGCGATATCAATGCCTTTTCCAAGCACTGCATGTTGCGCAAAATCAGCCAAACGTGCGAGCCAGCATGGCTAGTGTCTTTGTTCTTCACACGCTTTCCACCACAAAAAAGGCCCACCTCTAGTAAAAATTGGGCAAGACAACCGCGAAGACTTATCCTGGTGGCGTGGTAGGCCTGCGTGACTGGAATTGCAATGCACCGGGCGCAAAGGCTCTGGAAGCCGTCCTTGTCCCCAAGCTTGCTGAAGCCTGACGGTCACTGCTTTGGGATACTCCTCCTGCATAGATTGTGCTCAGCAGTGCACATTGCAAGCACTGCTGAAATTTACACTCAAGGAACAGCAATCCAAGCAGAAGACGCCAGATCAACTTGTTCGATGGATGCGATTGTTTGGCGAGCCTTTGGCGCAGGAAAAGTCGCTCAGCTTGGCTCGGCGCAGAAAGCCTCGAGAGCCCTGCACAGTACCCCGGCGATCGAAAACCTCCGCTTTGCCCGGCTTGGCTGTGGAAAGCCGGCAGGCCAAGGAGCCAACGAGTGCTGATTGACAAGGCCAAGGCCCAACAAGTAGTTTCGTACACGTCATGACCAGCAAAAGCACCGCGCCAGGGTCAAAGAAGCCAAGGGGCCTGACATGGGCAAAGTGGCAAGGACACGTTGCACGACGGTCAAGGCTTCAGAAAAATCGTGTCCAGAGCAGGTCCGAAGGGCGTCCACACAGTGAGAAATGAAAAGCAGGCCCTTCTCTGGTTGGACAAAATCCTGCACCACTTTGAAGCCATGGGGAAACCATTGTTTCTTGGTATTTGCGGGGGAATCGCATCATTCCGGGCTTTCTGAACGGGGGTGCGAAATGGATTTCGCATCCATTTCGCAACCATCCACAGTAGTTCAATGAATATTGGCTTTTGTACCTGTTGACCCATCTTAATCAAGCCCCAGTTTGTTAGTCGGGGGTTGTCCCTGGGTTTAGTGGGGAATGAAACCACTTTTGGAGGGGCCCCCTCCAGCATATTCATAAACTGGGGTTGATTCATATGGGGTCAACACTGTCCTGATCCCCCCGTTCCCCTCAGACACGGACTCCACTGCACAGTACTCCGTTTGTGGCATGAAGCCAACAGGCAAATGAACCCATGCAAGCTGTGCCATTTGCAGTGGTCCGTGCAGTTCAAGACATCATTATTGTTGTACAGTTGTGTTGCACACTTCCAACCTCGTCTGAAATACGCGACGGATGGCAGCTGGTTTAGATGTAGAAGTTGTAGCTCGAAACGATGAGTACCAGACCGTTTGGAACGACCTACATTCCAGCTTGCGCAATGTCCAACCGAAAAGTTGCCAAATTAACACGCTCGACAAGGGGCCATCCCGAAATGCCCGAAAAGCGTCCTTTTAAGCTGTAGTGGTATATCCGTTTCCAACACTGCCCACCCCCACCCCCACCCCCCCCCACCCCCCCCCACCCCCCCCCACCCCGCCACCCCCCCGCCCCAACTGAGTACAGCTTCGATGTCCGGCGAGGCAGCCTTCCTCCTGGACCTCCGCGCCTTGAGCGCTTCGCCGGCCTGGCTCTTCGCGGGCGAGTTCGAGCGTGTGGATGTGGAGAGGGTCCGGGTTGAGGTGGTCCTCAGGGAGATTCTGCCCAGTGAGGCGGGGGTGCGGCAGCGAGCCTGCCCATGGCCTTCAAGATCCTCCATGGTATTTGAGCCATTCGTATGGGCCCACGCAGGTCCTAGCGCCCGCGGTTCTTTGTGCTGAAAAGCTGCGAGCCATAGGCCGCTGCCGTGTTTGCCCAGCCTTGAGTGTGAGCCGGCATGTTATGTTGACCGAGCATGGTGATTGCCCGGGAAAGTATGAAGGAGGCGTGAGCCAGCAGCTGCGTAGAAGCAACAAGTCCAGCAGCAACTTTGTACGCACCTAGTGGCATAGTGACATACTGTGCGTGTACAGAAACGAATCAATCAGTCAATGTTGTTTACGGATACCGTGCACACATGCCGTTTATGAATAATATGTGTGGAAGCAGCTTGTGCAATCGATTTCTCACTGGGGCCATGCTTTCGTGCGAGGCCTTGGACCTTTGCCAGCAGACCTTCGGCTGCGAAGCCTCCGCCGTGCGCGTCACGCTGCGGCGGCCCGCGAACCAGCCGCTGAATTGCGGCGCCTGTGCGCCCGCCGAGGTGGAGCTGGAGCTGGAGCTGGCCGATTCCCGCGCGCGCCGGCTGAGCCAACGGAGAATGCGCTGCAAACAAGGCGCGAAGGGTCCTGACCATAGGTGTCCTTTTTGGTTGATTTGGTTAAAAAGTAGATGGCCCTGCTTTACCTGGTTCAATCAACTACCAGGGCCACCTATGGTCTTGACTACAATTTGGGAAGCTTTGAGTCAAGCTGGCGAGGAGACAAGTCTGCTCTTTTCTCTGCAATCTTCGCCCCACTCTTCTTCCCATCTCCTTGCTCGCTTCTTCTCCCCGCGCTCTTCTGCCCGCTCTCCTTGCCCTTCGCTCCGCTCGCTTCTTCATTCTGTTCCGCGCTCTTGAAGCTTATGCGCTCGGTCGCGTGTTTTGTGCATTGTTGATTTCACTTTTTGCCCGGAGGAAGTGGGTCTCTTCTCGTGAAGTTCCTCCCCTGTCATAAAAGTGAGCCGGCGTCGCCCTTGCGCGAGCAGTTGCGGCGATGTTGCGGCGTTCGCGCGGTTGCAATTGGCTTTCTTTAGGGTACCAAAAAGTGATGGTTTTTCAAACATTTTGGTCTTCTTGTAAAACCACAAGCAACAAGGGGGCACCCTCATCAAAAAGACATGCCCAAATGTGTGCCTGGTGGTTAAAGGTGCGATTGCCACCAGCGGGTGTGAATTTACTAGCCATGAGGAATGTGTGTTGTTTGAGGCGACATGAAGAAGATTTCAGGCCCAGCTCGAGGGCGACCCAAATCTGGGGATCTGAAAATTTTTGGGGGCGCCCTGAAGTTTCTATCAATCCTTTGAAAAGCCAAGCCAAGCTTCCTGCAGTGCTTGGTCAGCCAGAAGGCCGCATAGGAAACGACCCCGCAAACCTTGCAGGCGTGAAAAATCCTCCATCCGCCTGAAGGGTGCAGCCCCTTGGGGTCACAAGGCAAAATTAGACGTGAGATAGTACAATGTTGCCGCGGTTTGGGTTACCAACAGATCATCTTTGCGCGCAAAGCCGAGCTTTGTGGTTTTTCAGGGAGTAACCTTGCTGGCGCTCAGGGAGCGTCGGAATTTCTTGTGGCTTCCTGTAAGGGAATCCAAGGTTCAATCCCAACACCCTGCAGATGAGGAAAGAACCCCCGAAAAGAGAATCCAAGTGGTGGTTTCCTTTGAGGGGACCATGGGTTCATT